CTGTCACCAGACAGGAAATGAACTGATGTCTGTCCCCTCATCCCAGTCCCTGGATTACTCCAGGGAGTGGGTATGGTGAGTCCAGCTGAAGAGTTCACATCTTGATAGGAATGACACTGTATGTGCGTGTGCGCACACATGGGGACGGGGGGGTTCCGGTGCTGAGAAAGTTAGTATGTGCCTGTGTTTACTCTGACCTGTCTATCTGTATGTCTGGGTATGACTGGATCTGCCCATGTGCCTCTGGGTCTCTCTGGGCACTGGCTCTCTGCTTTTGTCCTGTGTGCCTCTGTCCACATGTGTGAATATGTACATTAGCGTACAGGCCTTTACGACCCTATGTGCCCATGTCTTAGTATTGGGTCCATGACGCCATGTAGGTTTTCTGTCTGTGTTGGCAGCCATTGTCTTCTCTCTCTAAAAGGGTTCAGTTAGAGAGCAGTGGGGGAGGAAATCAGACCTACTCCTGTTTGGCATGTGATTTCTGTCTAGACACATCTGTTTGTTGTGACATGACCCACGTAAAAGTGCTTGGCTGTCATGGCCTGTTGCCTAGGCTTTACAGTGACTAAGCTATTATTGTGGGTCACTGGGAACTTAAAGACATGTCATGAACCCCAAGTAGAAGCCATCTCCATGACATTGCAGGAACATGGTACCATCTGAGAAAGGAAGTCCAGCTGTTATTGCAAAATTAGCCATGCCAAAGAATCTCTGTAGGTGAAGGTCACAGAGCTACAGTGCCTCCAAGATCAATTCACAGTTTAGGAAACTTGGCTCAGAGGGGAAGTGTCTTGCCTGAGATCACAAGCTAATTAGTGACTCACTCTTTAACAAATGCTTATCAAGCACCTATTGTGAGTCAGCCACTCTTCTAGTAGCTAAGAATGAATGACCAGAAATTTAAGCCATGGGGTCTGCTATTAAGGTACCTGCAGCCTAGCTGGGTAGATAGATACATGAGCAATTATGATAGAACCAGGCTGAATGGCATAGCAGGAAAAGTATGCAAAGAGCATTGCGGGCACTAAAAGAAAGTTATATAATTCTGTCTTTAGAGGAGATTGAGAGAGCTGTGGTAGATTAAACAACTGCCCCCAAAGATATCCTGTCCTAATCCCTAGAACCTGCTAATATGTTCCCTGATATGGCAAAATAGACTTTGCAGATGTGATTAAGTTCAAGATCTTGAGATGGTCAGGATTATCCAGGTGGGCCCAATGTAGTCATGTGTCCTCATAAGAGGCGGGTAGGAGAGTCAGAATCACAGAAGGAGATGTGACAATGGAAGTGAGATTTGATGCTACCATGCTGCTAATTTTCAAGATGGAGGAAGGGACCACAAGCCAAAGCATGCAGGCAGCCTCTAGAAGTTGGAAAAGTCAAGAAAATGAATTCTCCCTAACACTTCTAGAAAGAACACAGCCCTGACCTTGATTTTAGCCCAGTGAGACTCATTTTGGGATTCTGTAATCAAGAACTATTATGAACATGAATTTGTGTTGTTTTATATCACTTAAGTTTAGTGGTAATTTGCAATGGCAGCAACAGGGAAAACAAACACAGAAGGTTTCATCAGAGATGAGGGGAAACTGGAACAGCATTACCTCGAAGGGTGTAAGGTAAGAGCTCAGGGAGTTGGAGAATATTGTCAAGTTAGGTGTGCCTGGAGAGGAGCAGGAGATGAGGCCCCTAAAAGCAGCTTGGGTCTGGCAGCACAGGCTCTGCGTGGAACCACCTCCTGGCTTCTCTACTTTCTCTCCATATAACTCAAACCTTCTCAGTCCCTGCTTTTTCATCTTTTCAGTGGATATAAGATTTAATATAGGACCTGGGGAGGACTGAAGATGATCCACGTAAAGTACTTAACATAGTGGCTGGCATACTGAGCTTTCAAAACAAGTTAGAAAATATTATTTGTTTTAAGTGAGTGAGGGTTCATCAAAGCTTGGCTTAGGAGGTTATTGGGAAGAGTGGGAAAGGGGCTCTGGGTTTTCTGGCACCCTACGCTGTGGCTTTGTACCATACGGTGCTGCCTCTTTCTTGGTCCTCCTAACCAACCTCAGGTCATGCCTCTGTATTTCAAGATCCATTCAATATAGCCACATTCAGAGGTGAGAAAAGAATTTGGCTTTTCCTGGGTTTCACTAGAACAGCCAGCCCTGATTCTTGGGGGAAAGTTCTATAAGACCGAAGCAAAGTAGAGGCCTGCCTCGGCCGAGAGCTCCACTGCATAACTCTGGGTAAGTGCCTGATAAAGTGCTTCATCCTCCTCTCAGATCCCTCTCCTGGGCACATAGCATCCTCAGATGGCTTCTTGATTTTCCAGACCCATCTGTTGCTCAATCCAGGTCCCAAGCTTTGCTTCTGTCATCCTCACAATCAAAACCTGGATGACAGACCTTATGATAAGAAAGAACCCATTGCCTTCTTTTCCCCAAGCTGAGTATTCCCAAGCTCTTGTGCTGACTAGCCACTGCTTCTTGCCCTGGCCCCTCAGGTGGCTTAAATGAAGTCGCTCACTCAGTGCTGTGATTCCAAGCTACAAGCTCCTGAGTACCAGTCTGGAGGTTAGGTATGAGAAAAAAAATGATAAATTAGATCAAGTCCTTGCCCTCACGTGTTCACAGCTAAGGGAGAAAGGTATTTATCACTCCCTTCTGAACCACCTTTGCACTATAAAACCGGGTTTCAAACTCGGAGCATTGGCTGGGTCAGCCCACAGGGTTGGAAGGCTCCAGCGACACCCTTAAATTATGCCCCATTAAGCAGCTGTCTACGCTGTTTGCCTCACGTTCATGCGGGCTGACCTCGGCTCCAGTGACCATCCCTCCTTGTTAAGTGCAGAGGGCAAAACTTTGGAGTCAGGGAGCATCTGGGAGCAACTGTCAACTAGCTCTGACCTTGGGTGACTTGAGTCATCTCTTTGAGCCTTGGTTACCTCATCCGTAAAATGGCTTTGTGGGCCTCAAAGGAGACGATGGGTAAGGGATCTAGAACAGTGCTAGCACAGAGTAGGTATTTTATACATGCTAGGACCAAATTCCTACCCTATGCTACCATAGGCCAGAGCCAAACAAGATAAAAATCAGACCCTTCATTTCCTTTCTTGAAAATAAACCCTGGTTGTCCTGGACTCTGTCTAATTGTGCATGGCCACCGCTCCAGGAGATAAAAGAGAGGAAGGCTACAGAGGATCCCCGGTCTTTTAATTTTTTCTTAATTGGGGGTGCAGGAGACTCTAATTAAGGCAGTGGCGCCAAGAAGGAAAACACAACCACAGGCTTTGTGGGCCTCCCCCTGCTGAGAAGGGCACAGTCAGCAAAGGGTTACCCTGCCTGTCCGTGCATACACCCATCCCCCACTGTCACTTTATATGAAAGGCCCAAGCATCAGAGAACAAGCTGGTCAGTGACAGTTGCTCTTATTAATGGCTTGCTCCCCCAATCTCTCTCTTTTCTGGCTTTGACAGAGAAAAAGTAATGAATAAAGCCACCAAAACAGGCATTCCCTTAGATTAGGTCTCCCATGCCAGGTTGGCCAGCAGCTCAGATGCTATTTCCTTCCAGCGTCCACTCTGATTGCCCAAGTCCCTGTCCCTCTCCTTGCCCACTGCACTGGGTCAGGCCCTCGCCTGCTGGCGGAAGTGCCCTACCCTTGTCTCCATGACAGCCCCGCGCTGTACTGTAACTCCTGTGCTTGGCCTGACTAGGGGGGCAACTAGACTGACGTTTCCTGGGGAGCAAGGGATGTGCCTTATCCATCCTTCTGCCTTCAAGAGAATGTCCCTTACAGTGTTCTCAAGAAAGGGCACATCGCCTCATGGGTTCTAGCTTCTTGCTATTAACCATGCATTTATATACTCTGAGCTAGGATCCCTGAGAGGCCTCGGTGAGACAGGGAGAATAACAAATATGTGACATATGGTCCCCACCCCCAGGAAACCCACATTTTAAAAGGAGACACACGTCAACAGTTTCAACACAGATAAATGCCAGTATAGAGGAGAGTGAGAGAGGTTGTAGTAAGGGGACATGGGGCTGCAGCCAGGCTAAGAAATTAGGAAAGGACAGGGGCTGGTCTATATCTTTACATTGTCCATGATTCCTACTGTGCATGAACAAGGATTATACCAGAACAATACAACCTGTATGTGTGGTGCTTAAACATCCAGTTGTTACTGTATTCTGGAGGCCCCTACTGGACTGGGGTGAGCTCCCTTGAGAAGGGCCCAGGAAGGCACAATGTCAGAATAGGCACTCATTCATGTTTGCTGAATAAGCCCCTCAAAACTTTTAGCAGGCAGGAAAAGCAGAGATTCCTGAGGGTATGGGGGCCCACAGAGATGGGATACTTTATCCTAGCCTCCCTAGGATCAGTATGTGAAAAGGGGAACCCATCCATTTGGGGTGAGTCAGAATGTGGCCCAGACCAAGGCCACTCTCTCGGGAGCTCTGTGACTTGCTGGGTAAGGTCCTCAAGCTGGAGGAGGCCTTAGCCATCACTAAACTCCCTCTCCTCCAGCCAACATTGAGGGTAGAGTCTGACCAAAGTTCACAGTGGGACAGACCAAGAAGCTGAGTTCTACTAAATAGTTAAGTGTCCACCAAAGCAGCATTTAAGCACTATAATTCTGGGACTTAAATGAGACATGGGACCTGGAACAAGTTTTTTTCCCTCTCAAAACCCTAAATGTCCTCATAGATAAAGTGAGTCGATAGTATCTAAGTTCTCTTCCGATTGCAACGTTCTACAAGCCTAAATCTGCCATTGTTTATGGAACAGAGGATATACAAACACGGCTGGATGAAAACACACAGGGTTGAAAGAAGCAGTCGTCATTCTCATTCTACTGGAGGGGCCCTGGAGCAGGGTGACTCTTCGGATACCAAGCAGAGAAGAGGACTGAGAGCTCCCTGGCTTTGGTCACCGAGCTGGAAACATTTTCCAAGCAGCAGTCCAGGGCTTTGCTTGCACACTGAGGACAAGATGCAACTTACTATGCAGCAGGCAACCAGGGCTCCTTGCGCAAATCCTGCCAGGACGTCACTGGGGTGGTGCTTGTGGTCAGATACGCGGGACAATCCGGTGTAAAAGGCCATCATGATGAGGGTGAACTGCAGGAGAGGCCGGAGCAGACGTGCTCCTCGCCAAGTAAAGCGGGCCTGAAGGTACAGCTGGAGGCAGGAGATAAAATGAACAGATACTAAGTGACTCACCGTTCACCAGCATTATAGCCCCGGGTCAACCCTTGCCACACTTATACCTTGGGTTTGGCATAATGTAAAAAGAACATTCAACTTGGACACGACCTCAAGCCAGTCATTTAAAATTTGAGCCTTAGTTTCTGTACTAAAAAAATAAAATAAATAAAATAAAATAAAATAAAAACTTTTAAAAACTAGTGGTTTTCTAGGGAGATCAGCTAGAGAGAACTGGGGATAATAATACAATGACAATGGCCCTAGCACATTACCTGGCACCTACTAGACACTTTATAGTTTTGTTTTCTTTACTCCTTGATTGAAACTAATTAAAGAATAGTAACCAAGGTTACTAGAAGTTTCTTTTTTACACATAATTCATTGAACACATCTGTGTTTTTCTGGAGATTATGGCTATGCAATCTCTACGCTGCCTGCCTTTCAGGACTGTCATGGAAAAAACATGCCTGAGTTTACTGTGATAGTCACAAGGAGATGCTTCTGCTTCAGAAGAAAGCGACTCTATCAAAGGACAAATTTCTAAGTCACTGCTTGGGACGATGGATTTTGAATTAGAAAATAAGGAAACATATAAACTGACCAGACAATGCCAAAGAGCTTTCAACTAGAAATGGACAGACACGGGCTGGGTGGAGTCAGAGCATAACCTGAAGAAAAATGAAAGAAAAGAAAAAAAAAAAAAACACCTCTGGCCGAAGCAAAAAAGTTGAAATGACGTCAACTGGGCATTGTCCCCCATAGTTATCTTGCTGCAGTTTCCGTTCTAACCTCTGGACACAACCTACTTTCCAGGTTCCTGTGGGAACTTGGGAAACGAGGGGGGGAAGAGGCAAAGGGGACAAGGGGAACTTCCGACTACAAATCAAAGCAAAGCCCTCGGAAGGGCCAGGAGAAAGGGGAAGAGAGATGAGGGGAGGGGGCTTGTGGCCTAAAGATAGACCTCTGCCCTTCCTGAGACAAACGGACACTTTCCTTTTGGTGAGGGAAAAAGCACACCAGCAACCAATCCTGAGGAGAGAGAAGAGTGGAAGATTCCAGATTCCGTGTTGGAAGAGAGTCTAGCACTGAATCTTCAACTACTTGGAAGACTATTTCAAAAACCCAGGCCTGGAAAGCAGCAGGCAACTTTACAATCATTACAAAATTATATGAATGTATTACTGGAAATCTAAGAATAACAGAATGAAAACGTAATAAAGAGAATGCATTAATATTGTTGGCTACTAAACAAGTGATAAAAATCAAAATCAGTAACCAGTTAAAGATCTAAAAGAGGTAAAAATCATCCTAACAACAAAGATGATTAAATAAATAGTGATTGCTTACAAAGAACCACATAGCATGTATGAAATAAGGGACATAAAGGTAATTTAAATAGAGAGCTAGAATTTTATTTGTAATAAAACTTATTTTTAAGAACACTTAACTTATAAACTCATAAAATGGCATGTAAATTCAATCAGATTCCCAGGTATACCTTGTAAAAATATGGAGGCAAAAAACTTTAAAATAAAAATTAAATTATAAACAAACCAACCAGGCAGTAAGGTATGTGCTAAGGACTCAGAAATGAGAAGTTATAATTCCTGCCCATGGATCATACAGTTGGGGGGAGGAGGGGCGGATACATGGAAACAAAAATATGTATATTTAGGGGTTTATAGGAACTATGGAAGAAGCTCGGGGGCCAGGGTCAATTTCTAAGGGGAAGAAATATTTGACTTGAATCCTAAAGATGAAGAGGTGTTTGCTAGGAGTTAAGGGGAGAGCAGGGAAGGGTGTGTATTCCAGGCAGAGTTCCATCCACAGCACTTCATGTGGCTCAGCACTGCTGAAGGGGGCGCATGGGGGCGGATGAGAAGAAACAGGGGCTAGAGGAAAGCAGAGGCTATTCATGAAGGTCATTGCATGTCAAACTAAGGAACTGGGCCTTTATTTAGTAGGTCAGTCTCCCCTAAACTGTACTGCACGGAATATTAGAGATCTTAAAAAAAAAAAAAAGGTTGGTAATTGCTCTGTACTTAATCCTTACTTTTGTCACAAGGATTATTTTTATAGAACATCTACCTATTGAGTCCCAATTAAGAAATGTTGCTGTAAGCAATGGTGAAAAATTAAATAGTTTTAAGCAAGGCATTCGGTACCATAAAAAATAATCCACGTGTCAAAGGCTAGTAGTCCCTCATTTCTGCTGATATGACCCAAGAGCAGAATCTACAATCATGAAGCAAAAGCTCCCTTCCTTTGGGGAATTGGGATGGGGATGCTGTTGGTGTAGCTCCCACTCAACACAAGTCTTAAGGACAATGGAATAAAATTCAGGGAACAAGGAATAGTTCTTTTGTATTGTGCCCATTATGGGCTGATCTCCCTCCAGCAAGTCTTGTTAGTGGATGGGGTGGGGTGGGTAACAGAAAAAGCACAGATTTTCATCAGGAAAACCTCACCAGGCCTCAGTGTTCTCACATATAAAATAAGTGTAACAATCATCATCTTACAGACTGAGTACAAATTGGTGGTAACATGGATCAAGTGCTTGGCACTATATGCTGCTCAATCAACACGTGATCTTACTCTTTTCTTAATCTGGATCTAGTAGCTTCAAGATTTACTAATTTCCCTCAACTGAGAAATCAGCAGGTTTTCAGAAAATGCTTATTCAAAATCCTCCAAAACTCCCTGCCCCCTCCATGTAGACTTGAGGTCACAGGCCTTGCAAATAAGGGTGGGGCAGAGGAAGGGTGGGTTTCCCAACCGGACAAGGCACACATCTCCCCTTCCACTGACTCAGATACTTAAGGCTAGAGTTTAATAAAAAAAATAAATAAATAAAAAATAATAATAATAATGAGAGGAACTTGAGGAGAGAGGAAGAGAGTCCAGCCACAAGAACTGCTTCAGGAAGAGAGTGCTTATGAATGAGCAAGGAGTAGGGAGCCATGGGGAAAGATTCTTTTTGGGAAGAGGTCACACACAGAATTACAGTGGGCAGAGGGAGGCTGGTCCCCTGTCCCCATATCCATCTGCAATTCATGCACCTATGGAGATATGTCTCAAGATCTCAAGACTGACCCTGGTGTTTGCAGCTGGGAGAAAGCACAGTGATAATAAGGTGAATTTTGGGGTGATAGCCTTGATTCTGGTCCCAGCTCTTCCACTTACTGTGTGGTCACTTAACTTCTCTAAGCCTCCTCGTCTTTGAAGCAGGTAGGAGAGCATCTCCCTCTCAGGCTTGCCAGGCTCCAATGAGACAACACAGAAGGACCCAGCCTTGCATTAGAGGGTATATACGCAAGGCACTCTGCCATGAATCTATGCCACCCTTGTGCCTTGGTAAATGAGATTCACTCAATGACTGGGCTTGATTTCGCCAAAACAAGTAAATTGCTAAAGAAAGATTACACAATGACCTTCTACCCAGTGGCTACTTCCGATTTGAGAAGTCAGCTGGTAGCAAAGGCTGTGAGGTTGACCGAAAGACCTGATAACTCCCTCCATCCCGCACCAACCAAATTGCTAATTTTACTGGTTCATAGTCCAGTTCACAGGAGCCATTCCAGGCCAGAGGCCTAGGCCTCCCCACAATCACTGAGTACTTTCTGGAGTGCCCAACTCCCTTAGGAACCTGAGCCTGGGGACACTATGTGGGTCATCAGGCTCCATTCACTCTCACTTCCCAAGGGCAGGAACCCCTAATTCAGAAGAGGAAGTCAAACTTCCTGACCACAAGGATGTAATGTCCCTGTCCTGGACCAAACAGCGAGAAGACTTTCCTAGAATCAGAATTCCTACAGGGACTTCAGTCTTAGGACCCTCAAAAACAGTGGTTAGGAATGGGGTGAGCAGAGCTGTAGAGAAAACTACAAAGTCTAAATTAAATCACCCTGACTTCTAATACTGGTCAGCAGCTCTGTGGTCCGGTCCGGTCCATCCTCACTTCCCTATCTGTGGGAAGATGTCTGAGCTGGAAGAATCCACTTCCTAACCATCAGCGTGATATTGCAGAAAGCAGACAGTGACTTGCAATCAGAGCAACTAGACTCGAATCTTTTCTCTGCTGATACCAACTATATGACCCTGGACAAGTCATGCTGCTTTGAATTTCTGCTTTCTCATATATAACATAAGGAGATTTGTTCATTCAAGAATAGATGTGAGCATCTATGCTGTTCAAAGCTCTGTAAAAGACAGGCATGAATAAGTTCCTTCATGAAAAAAAGAATATAATGTTAAAGTCCTTTTTTTTGTACTAACATTTTTCTTCTAATTTTTAAAATGCTGATTGTAGATAGGACACAGATTACAGGAGAAAGGTGCTTCTGGTCCCCACCACCTCTCCTGCTCCCCCCCCCCAACCCCCACATGATGTGTGTATAAGTTCCTAGCACAGGGAACTCATTCCATGAATGGAGTTCTCTTCTTCCTGGTCCTAGCTTCAAAATCAGGATCCTGTGGAATTCCAACAAAACCTCCTTAGAAAGCTGTAGTTGGATTCAATCCGGCCCCTCCGGTCTGAACTAGCAGAGTCAGATGTCGGTGAGTCACGCTCCATTTTTGCTAAGTCATTTGTGTTTCATTACATGATTTGCATACTGGTGAAACAGGTCTGTACTGTCCTCTCACTTCATTTCCATAACTCTGGGGACAGCTCTGCTGAGAGTGAAAAGGAGGCTTTTGTCCTTCCTTCTGTCCCTGCCCGCTTTCTTCCTGGAAGTCTGTCCAGATCACTGACACCCACAGGGAAAAACTTTATCCCTTTTCTCATGTCCTCAGTGGCTCAAGCTTGGCTCTAGTTCACGTGCCTGGTGACTAGTCTACTTGCTGCAGAACTAGAGTTTCTCTCTGGGAAGTTATTCAACTACTTTCAGGACAAAAGAGAAATTTTTAGTTGACTTTCCCCTTCCTTTAGAAGGGAATCAGATCTCATTCTCTATCATTATCAAGGGTAGGAA